GGGCTAATCTAGATATTTTTTCCCATCTGAAAAAATTAATAAATTTGACCTTAGATAAAAGTTATAGAGAAAGTGCATGTAATATTTTTATTTTAACTCTTGTTTATTACAATGACAAAAGCAAATATCAACTTTTACTCAATAAATCTCTTTAAAATATTGAATTTATGAAAATTTGAACTGCTATTAGTTATTAGTATTGTAGCAAAAAGGATTTAGTAATGGGGCGAATAGCGAGAATTGAACTCGCGAATGCTAGTTCCACAAACTAGTGCGTTAACCACTTCGCCATATTCGCCAAATTTGGAGCGAGTAACGGGAATCGAACCCGCATCCTCAGACTGGCAGTCTAATATTCTGACCGTTGAACTATACTCGCTTTATATTGTGCGTAAATTAGATGTCTACTTTGGAAACAAGACCATAATCAACCATTAACTTTGTTGACAATTGGTCGTTTCCAATTACAAAAAACAGAACGATATTACAAAGTCAAAATTAAATGGTTAGTATTTTAAATCTCTAACTCCTTAATTGCTAGGAAATGATTAACTGACATTAATTATTAGCAGAGTAATATTTTCCCAAACCCTAACAATTTGGCGGAGTGAGAGAGACTCGAACTCTCGCGTTGACTATTAGGCCAACCTAGTTTCTTAGCAGGAAACCCTCTTAACCACTTGAGTATCACTCCTTAATTCATAATTTTTTAGCAATTACTATCTTTTCATAATTAATGTCCGCTTCTTATCTTTTAGTAATTTGTTATTTAATTGAGAAAAAAACCAGACAAAAGTGAAAAAGGTAGTATTAACTTTACCACTGGTTAATTACTCGAAAAAAATTTTTTGTTGTTCGCTCGGTTAAAATTTTGCTCATTGCTGGATTATTGTTTTTTTTTTTTTTTTTTGGTATTAAAACAGATTATACCCGCTAACGCTATCCCTGCTATGATTGCTAGACCTACTTCCGCGGCTTTGTGATAGTTATTACACTTTTTTAAGGATTTTTCTGTTTCTTGGAGATTGCGATTAACTATCATGAGATTTGTTTCCTTCTGTCGCAAGTTATCTATTTCCTTTTCCAAATTGTTCGTGAATGTCACGAGTTCTAATTTTTGAGTATTTAAAACTTCTAGTTGTCTTTGCAAACTAGTTAGTTTTGCATTAACTTTATCTAACTCGCTCTTTTTCACTACCTTATTCTTCCAATTAGCCAAATCACTTTCACCAAGCACTTTTTTTAATTTTTTTTCGTAATTAGTAATTTTTTCTTGTGCAATTTGGAGTTCATTTTCTAAAACGGTAATTCGGTCAGTTTTTTCCTCTAACTCGCTTACTAATATATTGGTTTCGAACAATTTCACAACTAACTCGGATGAACTTTTTAACTCTGAGTTCTGTTTTTTTAGGTGTTGATTTTCTTGATTGAGCGATAAATAATCGTTAGCAAAATTATTTTTTATCACATTATCCGGGTCTTTATTTTCAATAAATTGACCCCGGTAAAAACGGTCCATGGCTTGGGCACTCTCAATATTAGCTTCTCTTTCAATTTCTAATTCCTCGTCTTTTTCGGCTAGTTGTTTGTCTACTCATCACTTGCGAAAGTCAAGGTTATAATCTTTAAATTCTTCATGGAAATCTGTTTCTGAACAAGAAAGCAAACGTAAACTATCAACCGGTAAATCTTTTAATTCCCCAGTAATATTTTTTTGATAATCTAAAGACAAATGTATTAGGCTTTCACATTCTCGCAAACTAGCCAGGGAACCGAAAAAATTATTCCCTGCACTTTCTCTATAACTTTTATCTAAGGTCAAATTTATTAATTTTTTCAGATGGGAAAAAATATCTAGATTAGCCC